GAAACTCATTTATTTTCTTGAGCGGGTGCCAGTTACGTTTACATTCGTCCCTGTCACATACTAGTGTAACACAATGGTGTCTGCTCATCCTAGGAACCCAAGGAGCCTCAAACCAATTGTTCAGGGTCTGGAAGAAGAAGTCTGACCATCTCGTACGTGGGCGGCCACATGATCTTTTGACATCCCGTGAAATCCAGTCGGTAACAGCTCTAGTCCAGTAGTCATCTACAAATCTCATTTCAAGTTCAGCCCATCTGAATTTCAACGCCTTGGCAAACGAGATAGCATCCCTGATTCTTGACAATCAACTGAGGTCGGAACTCTGGTTCTTTCTATCTTTGAGTGAAGCGTGATACTCCAAGCATAGCTCATTGATTCCTCTTTGGGAGACGCAAATAGCATTCTCATCCTGTTTTCATAGGGCCCAGGTCTCTGAGGCATATGTTAATGCAGAAAGAAGAGTGGAATCAAAGAGATGTGCCTGGAGCTGGAGGTTCTTCAGCCTCTTAGCTATTTCTTTGATGCTCTTAAAGGCGTTCCAGGCCACTCTCTTCCTCCTGAGCAAGTCAAGTTCCAGGTCATTCGTCATGTTGACTTCTTGAACTAGGTATACATAACTGTTGCATTCAGAGATGGTTGTTCCATTAAGAGCAAATGTAACATCAGGAACTAGACTGTTTCTCATAAACATTGTATTTGAGAAATTCAGCTGGAGTCCAACCTTTCCACACTCACGACCAGCATTTGTGTCACTCGGCTAATGTTTGGTGTTTATTAGAATAATGTCATCAGCAAAGTGTGGGTGGTGTAATTGCTGACTGTCTATCTTCATTCCCATTCCTTCCCATTTCAGTCATCGCATGATGTTCTCAAGAGTGGCACTGAAGAATTTTGGTGAAATGATATCTCCCTGCCCAACCCCTCTCTTAACATGAATGATCACTTCTTTGTAGAATGGTGAGATCTTGGTAGTGAATCCATAGTAAAGCTCACAGAGGATCCTGATGTATTGGGTTTGAACGCCCTGATTGACTTGGGCTTCGATGGATGCTTCTGTCTCAATAGAATCAAGTGACTTCTTTAAATCAATGAACGTCAGAGTAGCATCTTGAACTGCTGAGAAACCTCAATGAGCTTAGTTATCATGTGGATATGATTGATCATGCTGAATCCTTTGCGGAACTTAGCTTGTTTGTATGGTTGTCCCTCATCTAGTGTTCTGCCAATCCTATTAATGATAACTTGCAGGAACAGCATGTATAGGCAGATCGGGCAATGGTTGCCAATGTCGTGGATGTCTCCCTTTTTTTACAGTAGTACAGTCCTGCATGTTTTTCATTGGGATGGAAACTTGCATTCAGACAGGTAGCGTGTGAAGAGTCGAGCTAGTGTATTGATGATTACTGATGGCAGATTCTTCAGTTTTTTGGGTCTGCCCTTGTGTGGGCCAGGTGCTGTTCATTTCTTTACCAATGGAACAGCGTGTCAGATTTCGGAAGGGAGAATGTTGGGAATGACATAACCATCTTGTGGAATTTGGTATGTGGGCAGGTGGACGTGGCTTTGCAAGAGATCTGAGTAGAAGTCATGGATAATCTTCTCCATTGCCCTTCTGGAAGACGTGATAGATCCATCAAGATGTTGGGGGGCAGTCATCTTGGTCTTGTAGTTTGCGAAGGACAGGTGGGCATTGCGAACACTTTTCCTGGCTTCTGCTGCATCTATCAGCACTACTGCTCTTCTCTCTTTGTGGTCTTCTTTTATCGCTTCTCTGCACTGTTTTGTGAGCTTAAACAGTCACTTTCCATTGCCTGAGGCTTGAGCCAAGCCACGTTGGTGAATAAGCTCAAGAGTTTTCTAAGACAGGCATTTTTTTCTGGATCTCTCTCTTGGCATTCCTCACACAATTATGGAAGTGCTGAACCAGTTGATTATATTCCTTGTTAATGTTGTCAACAACGGCATCTTCCCAGGTTGCAGTAACAGTGCCAAAGAGCTCTCAGTTTGTAGTCATTCTGGGAGTTCTCTTCTTAAACTTTGCAGCCCTTTCTCCCTGATCCGTGAAGTAGAATTTTACACTAAGGATACAGTGGTTCAATCCTTTTTGGAATTTTGGGACAACGGTGATATTGGTAAAAGCAAAACAGTGGATTGAATATGATGTAGTCAATTTTATTATAGAACCATCCATCGGGAGACTCCCATGTCCAACGTTTAGATTCAGCCTTCTGGAACTGTGACTTACCGTGGATGGTCTTGGTCGAGATGATGAATTCAGACAGTCTCTCACCCTGTTCATTCCATTAAAGGCCATGGGTTCTGATGTGGAGTTCTTGAGCTGATATTCTCATTCCTATCTTGGCATTAAAATCACCATGAATGATCTTGTAGAAGGTGTGGTCTTCTTTATAGAACTTCTCTAGCTCCATGTAGAACTTCTCAATTTCTCCTTCACCATAATTGTATGTTGATGCATAGACAACAAAGATAGAAATTGCCAGCAGTGAGCCACATCTATTCAAGTGTAACGGTCTGATTCGGGTTGTTAGGCATTCAAATGAATCAATGCTCATGGCCAAGTTTGGGCTGAAAAGAACACGGATGCCTCCAACACCTCTTTTTATGCATGTTTCGAGGAACATTTCTTCTCCAGTTTCGAAAACGGGGTGATGTGTTTGATGCCTTCTTGTTTTGGTCAGACCAATGATGTAGTACTTGTTCTTTTGCACTTTTACCAATAGGTCCTCAATGGATGCATCTGATGCCAGCGTATGTGCATTGAAAGTACAGACAGTCATTTTTGTCTTTCTTCATTTTGGCAACCTAGTTCGGCCTTTAGATTTTCTTCAGCCTCTCCTTCCTCATCCTTCTTAACACTGTCAAAGTGGTGGCTCTTTCATCGTCAGGGGAATAAGACCCATTGTATCTACTGGCTTTGGCATATTGAATATGCCATGGATAGTTTGCCAGGCTCTGCCATGTGGGCGGGAAACTCTCGGTAGCTTGCCAGGCTCTCTGAGAGGGATAGAGTATTTTAGGGCACCCTCTAATCACCCTTGTAGGTGTTCCCATGTTTCAAACCATATTTGAACCCTTTCAAATATGGTGCAGTAATCTTGGAAGATGGGTATTAAGTGTCTTATGATGTGTCCAGAAAGTGTACTGGATCGTGGAGGTGGCTGGTTAATGGAGGTAGTGGAGGTAGTGAAAATCTGAGGGTGAGGTATTTATCTGGTACCGGTAGGGTGGGTCTTTTTTGCGTAATCCAATCCCTTGGTCATTGGCGGTTAGTGGAAGCAGAGAGGACAGGGTAGGGTGGGGCTCCTGGTTTTAATACCTTGGTCACCTGAGGTTGGTGGGAGCAGGCAGAGGATCTCTGCTCCCTGGTCCGTTGAGTCTGGAGTCCAAGGTCTCAGAGTTCTGCTTACCTAGTTCTGTGGGGCTTCACTCATGCATGAGTCTTGGCCTGAGCATCCTAAATCTGAAGATAATCACACACACACACACACACACACACACACACACACACAGAATGATTAATGTGAATTCTTCTCAGGTCCTGTCTCTGTCTCTGTCTCTGTCTGTCTGTCTCTCTGTCTCTCTCTCTGTCTCGCTCTCTCTCTCTATCTCCCTCTCTCTCCCCCCCCCTCCCCTACCTCACAACAATCTCCATATATTTGTCTCTAATGTCTGTGCACACACACATGCACACACACACACACACTGAGAAAATAAGTGTTGTAAACCACATTTTATAACATTGTGTTTTGGAAACCTGACAACAATAGATATAAGACTGGGATGAGAATAATTATTTCTGTTTTTACTTTCCTATCTCCTCGTTCTCAGAAGCAGGTATGTGTTACCAATGGCTATTTCTTTTTTGCACCTCCTTATATGCTACGTACTTTATATAGGTTTCTGAAAGCATATGACATTTCTGCTTAGAGCCACTGAAAGCAGCTTTCATAAAAATATGTTCTAATTCACTTTTCTATGAATCCATTAGAATATTATTGTAAGGAATTTGTAAGTGTAGACACATCTTGAGCTGTAGGGAATACAGATCATGATGCCAAGTCAGAGGTAGTCTTAGATATCAGTGAACTGTGAGCAATTATATACACATGCATTTCATCATTTATTGACCCCTTGATGAGATGAAATGCACATACTATAAAATTGGTCATTTTTGAGCCACATGCTTTGCGTGTGTATGTCTCATTGGGCAAACTGGTTCAAATTCCTGACACTACATATATGGTCGACTAGGCACTCTCAGAGATCACTACTCAATATAGAACTGGACTATTCCCAGAGCACTTCTGGGTGAATTCCCAATGCCATTCTGAAAAATTGTCATTTAAAACTGAAAACTTTTACTTTTAAAAATAAATTCATATTGTTATTCAACCACTACTAGTTTTTAATTCTAGAACACTGTTATCACTGAGATATGGATTAATCCATTCTCAAGTACGATTTATGAAGGTTTTCATTTTCAAATGTTTGTCAATATTTGTTATACTTGGTTTATTTTTTAGCTCTACTATTAAATATAGAGTCATTTTGATTTGCATTGCCCAAATGACCAATGACATTGTGCATCTTTCTAATTTGGGTAATTTGTGTTTTTAAGGTCGAGTTGTAACAATTATTCATATAATGTCATTACCAGGCACTTAATGTATAAAAAAATTATAAATAATTTCTCCATTTTTCTTTCAGTGATTTTTACACATATTACATTAATATTGGTTACAACATCTGTCAACAGATATTTCAATTTTTATATTTCAAATGATGCTAAAATTTAATATATAAAAAGGAAATAATATAGCATTACAGTTTACTCACAGATTGAATTTTCTGTCAATTTTGTTTTTGATCTTTAGCAAATGGATTACTGACTCTAATGTTTTCTTGTCTTTCTCAATAGCTTATCAAATTTTCCTTTATAGAAAATGTTTGTGTTTTATTGTCTTCAAGAGTTTCATCAGATCCTTTTCTGGTTGATAAGCATGATGATTAGATGTCCACAAAGTTGTATGAGGTGTGCCTCCCTTAAAACTTGTTGTGCATTTGGCACAATTCCTGTCTGATGTGAACTTAAAAAAAATGAAAGGAACTTATCTTTCACGATCAATATAATTTTGAGTCTATAAGATGACTACCCTCCGACATCCTGATGGATATATCACATCTTCCAGAAGGGCAATGGAGAAGATTATCCACGACTTCTACTCAGATCTCTTTGATAGTCACATCCACCTGCCCACATCCCAAATTCCGCAGGATGGATATGTCATTCCCAACTTTCTCCCTTCCGAAATCCAACATGCCATTTCGTCAGTAAAGAAATGAACAGCACCTGGCCCAGGCAAGGTAAGACCTGAACACCTGAAGAACCTGCTGTTAGTACTCATCAATACACTGGCTCGGCTCTTCACGTGCTACCTGTCTGAATGCAAGGTTCCATCCCAATGGAAAAACAGCAGGACTGTACTACTGTACAAGAAGGGAGACATCCACAACATTGACAACTATCGCCAATCTGCCTGCTATCCGTTGTCTGCAAGCTGTTCGCTCGAGTCATCCTGAATAGGATTGGCAGAACACTAGATGAAGGACAACAATGCAAGCAAGCTTAGTTCTGAAAAGGATTCAGAACTATCTACCATATCCACACGGTTACCAAGCTCATTGAGGTTTCTCGGCAGTTCAAGATGCTATTCTGTCTGACGTTCATCGATTTAAAGAAGTCACTTGATTCTATTGAGACAGAAGCAGTCATTGAAGCTCTAGCCAAACAGGGCTTCCAAACTCAATACATCAGGATCCTCCATGAGTTGTATTACGGATTCACTACCAGGATCTCACCATTCTACAAAGAAGTGATCATCGATGTCAAGAGAGGGGTTTGGCAGTGTGATACCATTTCACAAAAACACTTCAGTGCCACCCTTGAGAACATCATGCGACAACTAGAATAGGAGGGAATGGGAGTGAAGATAGACAGTCAGCAACTACACCACCTCTGCTGTGCTGATGACATAGTTCTAATAACACCAAACATTAGCCAAGCAGCACAATTGCAGGCCGACTTTGACTGTGTGTATGGAAAGGTCAGTCTCCAGCTGAATCTCATGAAGACAAAGTTTATGAGAAACAGTCTGGTTCCTGACATTCCATTCGCTCTCAATGGAATGACTATCTTGAAATGAAACAGTTATATGTACCTAGGTCCAGAAGTCAACATAACTAATGACCTGGCACCTGAGTCACGCAGAAGAAAGCAGCTTGGACCACTTTCAAGAGCGTTGATGAAATAGCTAAGAGGACGAAGAACCTCTTGCTCCATGCACATCTCTTCAATTCCACTGTTCTTCCTGTATTAACATATGCCTCAGAGACCTGTGCCCTATGAAAACAGGATGAGAACTCTGTTTGGGTCTCTCCAAGAGGAATCGAAAGAGCTATGCTTGGAGTATCATGTTTCACTCAAATGAGAAATAGAATCCGGAGTTCCGACCTCCGTCAATGATCAATAATAAAAGACATTGTCACATTTGCCAAGTCGTCAAAAATCAGATGGGCTGGACACAAAATGATATTTGGAGACGACCACTGTACTAAAGCCATTATTTACTGGATTCAATGGGACGTCAAAAGACCGTGTGGCCCACCTACAAGATTGTCAGCCTTCTTCGTCAAGATCCTGAATGATCAGTTTGAAGCTCTTCATCTTCCTAGAATGAACAGATGCCATTGGGCTACACTAGCACGCAACAGGGACAAATGGAGACATTACTGGCGCCCGCTCGAGCAAATCAATGATTAACGGGAAGTCAAGTGGTCAAGTGATCAAGTGATATAATTTTTATGTCTATAAAGGAGATAATTATGTGATTTTCTTGCTTTGTGTGTGTTTTGTTTCTGGGATGGTAAATTATTGTCTTACCAAGTACATGAAGTTTCCAGAAATTACTTATTTCTCTTTTCTTTCTCCTTCTGCAATTCGGATTCCACAATGTTGACCACATCTCATGTTCTTATTGTACTCTAATATTCTGTTCAATGTTTTTTTTTCTACCTATATTCTGACTGGGTGACTTCAATATATCTTTTTCTTTTTTCAGTTACTGATTGTTTTTGCAACTTTACTTCTAAATTGATGTCATTTACCAGATGTTTCAATTTAGTAGTCATAATTTTAACAGTAGAAATCCACTTTTTACAATTTTTAGTCTTCTCTGGAGATGATCAGTATATCAGTTCATAAATAAAACATCTGTAGCACTGTAGCACTGTCCTCCTGTTGTTCATAGATTTGCTCGAGTGGGCCCAGTAACGTCTCCATTTTGAGACTTGTTACTGTGTTTGGCATATTGAATATATCACAGGTAGCTTGCCAGGCTTTGCCGTGCAGGCGAGATACTCTTGGTAGCTTGCCGGACTCTCCTTTAATTATTTGAACATAAAATGTTTTAATACACTTAAATCAGCTGCTTTGAAATATTTTCTAAATCTAACATGTTTCCTTTGCATATCTAATAATATTTAATATCTAGTATTTAGCTAGCTAATTGAGTAATATGTTGTGGAAACTGAATTCTCTAACATTCTTCTCACTATTTTGAAGAGGGTCATCATATATAAAATAGTAGACTGTTGATGACTTTTTAGAAACTCTGCTCTCTCAAATTTACCACTGCTGTTTTTCTGCCATGTACTATCTGAGTTACTTTTTTTTTTTTTGGCAGAATTTCCATCGACTAAGAATTATCACAGTAGACAGAGCTTAACCTTCCAGTGTGTTCTTTTCTCACAAACCCACAGCCCCTGATCTACTGCCAACCAACAGTGGACTCTGTACTCTGAACATTTGGGGTCTCCTAGCATCAAAGTGCTGTACAGGGTTGCAAACATTCACAAAAGAAAATATCAAAATCACACATTTTGCTCCTCATTGCTCTGATTTTCGGAGGTTTATATCTGTTCTCTGTTCTCCCTTTTTTTACCCATCATGCCACAGAACATTCTCAATTCTTATTGCATTTTCAGTGTTTAACTGCCTGAATTTTTTTTACACTGGTTTAAACCTAGCTGTAAATGTTTCCCCTTTAATTTACAGATAGTTTTCCCAGAGCAAAATTTTAATTTGAGAAGCTTTTGACCACTAACACTGAGGTAATCACATTATTGTTTTTCATTATCATGGAATTTAAGAAGGATCTTTGAAAACCTCAAATGAAATTTTAAATTCTCCTATCACTTTCACAGCAATTTTGGACATTAGCTTTCTTCTGTCTCACTTCCACCTGCCCTTGGATGATTTCCAGTCATACAAAAATAATTTCTCAAGCTCCCGCGGTTCTTTGTTTTATAGTCTAAATTGTTTAGAGATCTTCAATATTTGGGGGGAGATGAGAAATAGCTGATAGATATATTTACTATGTAGTGTGATGATTATAGATAGCTTTGCAAGTCATTTTCCTTAAAGTGCTGTTTTATATTTCATATATTTAAAAATCAATTTAAATTATACTTATCAAGCTATCTATGATCATGGTTTTAAAAATCAAAAACAATCAATTTTTACTAGGATTTCAGGAGATACTAATATCTTACAGAACACTTTGTTTGACTAGGAAATAGACATATCTCTAAAAAGACATAACATGCTTCTAGAGATTGGCAAACTGAAAAAACAACCACATAAGGGATATAAACATCCTTTAAATTAAATAATACTCATTCTCTTATGGAAATGTTGTCTCCATTTCTTACACAGTCTTACACATTATGCATAATGGTGGTTGGTTCAATTTACAAGTTCCTTTAGCATAAGTATACATCCTCTAAATGTTTACCATGATCTAATACTGTGGTATTATATTAGTGGTAAAAAAAATTTAGACTTTTTCTTTATTCTTAGCACATGTAATTAGTCATTACAACAATATATTTTAACTCATTTCCAAATATGTAATCCCTCCATACTCATAACATATTTTTAATTTATTTAACATTTTGTGATGTTTATTTGTAAAATATCTTCATTGATATCTGTAAAAATATACTTAGAAACTATATTCAATATTTAGCTAGGATATTTTATCAATGATAGCAAAGATTCATCATACCTATCCTTGATTATCTCCAATTTAACTTACAGTTTCTAAACAGAAACATTCCATTATTTCTTAAAATTCTCTTTGAAAGTCAAGACACACGGGAGACCTATTTACCAGAAACCACTCAAGCACTACTAAAATCCTCTCTGAACCACTTATTAATTCAACCCAAACTGTGGCAACCATTTGCAAGCACTTTCTGACCAGCTATTGGGTGATGTTAATTATCTTTCCATATGACATAAGTAATCATCAAGGAGAGCCTCATTATCTAGATGTTGCATAAAACTTAATGCCGACCCACTATATTTGTGTCAAGCATGTTAATTAGACTTACTGAAGAAGTAGCAAGGATTTTAAATGTTCTAGTTGTTTATATCCACATCCTATGATGGAGAATAAGACTAGCCATACTGTGAAATCTTGGGTACTTCAATGTCAGGTTATCCTAATTCCTACTCTCAAAAAGCAAAAGCAGTTAAGTTACATTTTTAATTCCCAACTATAAATAAAGAACAAAAATACTAAGAACAGAAACAAAGAAAAAGTTTCCAGTTGTAATGTTGTGATAGGAACTTCTGTAAAATAACTAAATCTCTACCACACTAGAAATGTACTAGTTCTACCAATTTGCTGGTTATTCAGGAAACTGTCAAAATGTAATCTTAACTCAGAGTTAAATTTATCCTACAACTCAGGCTTTCATTTAAGAAGCCTAGCCACTGGGGGCATATATCTTAGGAGATCTTGAGATGCTAGAAGCATTCCTTTGGGTAAGTGTAATGTACACTATTTTAGTTTATGACCTTTGAAATCTTTTTTGTTGTTCTCTTGACTGAAGAATATTTTTTCATTTGAAAATAAGTCCTGCTGTGCTACAGAATTCTACTAGAAGCTGAACAATTTAAACCTGCAATGCAGATTGTGCTGAGTGACAGTGTCCAAGAAAGAATGGGTCTTTTCATAT